AAAAAAATTTTTTTTTCGCTTCTGTTTATATAAGAATTTTTCATATTGTTCACTGTAAAAAAGGGTTTCCCAAAATTGAGAAACATTTTATCAAAATAGTTCCGAAAGAAATATTGTCAAATATGAAACACAAAATTGAATGTACTCAAAATTGAAACAGCATTTGCTGATATCTGAGAAAAGTGCATAGTCTTAAGAATGATGTTCATCGGTTGATAGCAGGATTTGATGTAAGGACCTCCGAGTTCATATCAGGATGAGAGTGAGGATAACAGGATGGGGAGGAGTTCAATCTCTAATCTCCATAGTTTGGTACACCTCTGTTAGTAAGTTTTTTTATATCGGCAACCGCAATGAGCATCATGCTATACTAATTTTCAATTTCAGTGGTACAAAGGGTTGCAATTTGTAAAATATGCTTGCAAAAGCATAGACCGGTAGTCAGGAGACTACCCGTCTTATTCACATCTTGTTTATTTCACTATATCTTAAAAGAGTTATAAGTGAATAGGATGTATTTTATGATGCGTCCCTGTGGTTGCCTCTATATAAGGCTTCCGAACTCTTTCTGGATTGAGATGCGCAGTGTGTAAGTAAATAAATAAATAAAATAAACGGACAACCCAAAATAACTTTTGTTCTAATGATTTTATATTCACGTACTAGGACTCAATATAAATGGTTTGAGGTGTAAGGGTAAAAATACAACTTTCTTAATGCATGTTTTCTCAGAAATTATTTTACCGATTTCGCAGAAATTTTGTATTTTGCCATGTAATATTATATTGATTAAAATGATGCAAGAATTCGTAAACCTCACTATTAAAATTTTTTAAACTATAATTAAACAAACTAATCAACAAATAATAAATAATCACTAAAAGTTATTTTTGAAATGGAATTATCTATGTATAAACGAACTTTATAATTCTGTACAAAATTTTTCCGTTTCACTTAGAAATTTCTCGAGATATGGCGAAAAACGCAAAAAGAGTAATTATGATTAAGGGGTCAAAATATTAGAGTGTCCTATTAATTCGCATAATTTAGGCCATTCCTTGAACCATTAAGATATAAGTCCTAGAACATGAAGATCTCACCATTAGATCAAAAGTTATTCAGGTCCGATTTTTTTTAAAATTTATTTAGTTATTTGCTTAGTCTCTCTGACATATTTCTCCCCCATATCGTTTATGAAACTGTGCCTTTTGCTGAAAAATACGTGCATGCTAGTCAAATTTTGAATTCACGGGGCTCTCAAATTCGACTCGGAGCTATTTTGACGAATTTCGAGAATTCATTTTATAATACCCAATATTACATATACAATACAATATTATAATTTTATTTATTCTATGTTATCAATGCTTTGACTGTCTCCTAAATCTTTCAAGTAACCTGTCAAAGTTTAAATCTTTATTTTAAAGTTAATGTTGACAAATATATAAAATTACGACTTCATGATACATTTAATATATATGGAGCAATATTGTCTAATCATTAAATGGCGTGTAGAATGTTTTGCAAGCTATGTTACAATATTCATGCTATATTTCATGTTGCTTTTGGAAATAACTATATTATTACTACACTCTTACAAACCCTCAACAACTTATTTAGAGGTAACGTAATAAATAATTGGATAAACTAGTTATAAAGAAGTACACTAATTTGAATAATGTAATAAATGATTTTCCATTTAGTACATGCATTATTCATTTCAATAATTGTATTCTTTTCATTGAAGATTTTCATTTGCATTATTGAACAGAGGTGTTCTCTCAAATTGAATCAATAGTAGAACACTTAGAGAAAATTAATTAAATTATTCTATGATCATTCTCCTACAATACTTTAAACTAATTTAGAACTTAATTTGGAACATTATTTAGAACTTTATCTATGTTTAAATAATTGATTATATTTATAAAATTTAAATAAATATTCTTATCTAAACCAAATAGGTTTCTTTACATTACGGTTTTGGTCAGATAAATGATAATTAAAAATGGACAATGATAATTAAAATACAGTATTTAAGTATAGGAATAAATTAATGTTGAGTGTGAAAATAAAAAACCGATCACTCTGGAACAACTTTGATTCACTGGTCTAATAATCTTCACGTTCTGGGACTCAGTCTCACAGGTTCAAGAGGGTGACCTCAAATATGCTAATTAATTTATGCAGACAATATTTTAAATTACGAAATTAGACACAAAGCGTACTTTTTTGGAAAAATTATACCTTTATTTTGACGGGTTCGCATTTCTAACCCTCAAATCACAGGAAGTAGTCGTAAACTGGTAAGTATGATCCCAATAATTTGGTCAGGAGAGCAGTGCAAAGTTTGGACCACTTGATGTTATTTTACTTTATGTTATTTCACTTAATATATTCTTATATCTTTCATAATAAATTGAAAAATTTTTTGCCCACAATTACATAATTTGTTCATTCAAGGATAATTTCAAGCAATAATATAATTTTTAGTAAATATTTATTATTTTTTTAATAATAGTCAAAACTTTTTGAAATATAAGGTATACATTGTTTTTGCATAATTGTAAAGAATTTTAATTTGCAAGGCAAAATACAAAATTTGAGAGAAGTCAATCAAATGGTTTCTGAGAAATTAAATTTTGAGAAGTCATATTGTTAAAATTCGATTTTTTTTAACACTACGCCTACCAATAGGAATGATTCCGATCGGTCGACGATCAAACTATGCATCGGATGTCACTGTATTTAGGAAATCCATTTTTTGTTTTTTGCACAATTTAATAAAGGGTGTATACAGTGCATACAGAAAAAAAAATTACTTTTGATTTTATAATAGGATTTTCATGTATTAACATTAAATCTTAGAGCTGTTTAATATTCCAAATGTACTGAATGATTATTCCAGACTATATTTAAGCTTACAAAATTATGGAAAAAAAACGAACTTGTTGTAAATGTATTTGTATAGTTGAAAACATTCTCCATTACATAGTCGAAAAAGCAATGGACATTTTGTACTGCTTAAATCTAACTTAACTTTTTCCCTATACCATTAAACAAATCAGCACATTTTAAACTATATAATTTTAAGTGACAATATAAAATATTTGAGAGAATTATGTCATAAACTTTTCAAAGGACAGTTCAAATTTTGAATTTGATCATTTCAGATTACTAATGATGTAAACATCTGTGCATCTTACTATTTAAATATTTTTTGTTAATTCTTTAAGTAACTAGAAGAAGAAATAATTTAATTATAAAAAATCATGTCTTCAGATAAACGAGCTTTATTTTTTTCACTTTTCTTAAACAATTTCAAAAAAAAAATATATAGCGAAAGATTCAACTATTTTCAGGAATCAAGTATTGTGACTGTAACCTACATTTTATGATTAGAAATTTAAAAAAATTTTGAATTAAAAGTTACATTTATTTACAAAAAATTCGCTCTTCTTATGTCTGACTTTGTAACTTAAGACATCATATGCAAAATTAATTCGCATATTTGAGCCTCAAACTATTAAAATGGGAGATTTAGTTGCATTGCGATTCACAGATATTACAGTAATTATTTCTGCAAGAATTACGGAGCATCAGATTGTTTTTTGATCCGTAAATTTTTACAGTAAAAGGTACTGGCGCGATACTTTTACAGTTCTTTCTAACCTGTACAGTTTATCGTAATTTTATCCGGAATTTTTTATTGTGCATACATGTTTAGACATATTAGTTCTTCAGACAGTCTTTAATGAAGTTAATAGAACGTAGACATCAACATACTAGGAATTGACATGGAAATTAGTTAAATTATTTTTAAAATAACTTACTGCAAAAATGAAGTAATAATTATTATAGCTACTAGTCTAAACTGGATGAAGTATGTATTTTGTTCCTTTCAAGAATTACACAATTTTTTTATAAGGATTTTTCCAAAAAGTATTTTTAGTCAAAGAAAAATTTTTTTATCGTAAAAATTCGATAAAATGTACTGACACCCGATAACAAGGCTCTCCTTAAGTGGATTAAAAAGAAGAAAATTGCTCTTTGATTCCCTTCCTCTGAAACTAAAAATGTAGTGAGATTTGAAGGGTATTTTCAATGGCGATAGAATTGTGTTACGAAAGTAAAGCTCTACGTTTTAAAGTTTGGTTATGGCAAAAATAAAAACATTTAAATCCACTTGTTAAAGCTATTATTTTTATTTGTTATTGGGAATTAAGTGCATATAAATGCCATCACAACAATAAGGAGACAATTGTTGTTTGATAGTAAACGCTACAGACAAATTGTACAATAACAAATTAAAAGTGAACAATAAGCAATTGAAATAAACAATTGATTTTGCAACATTTGAAAGGGAACAATCAGAAGTCAAAATCAAGAAAGGTCCTCTTTGTGTTGCAGAAAGCAAATGTGACTACATTGTATGCATGCTTGATATTACTCAACCTCTAGAAGTTAGCGGATGGCAGAAAAGCTTAGATCACTTTTTCATGGATGGGGAATGTAAAGCAAGCGAATTATGAGCGTACTTCTTTTGGATCACTAAGATAGAAAGCTCTTTAAATAAGTTAGATTTTATTCATTTCTTTTACGTCAATCATTACGTCAACAGTGTTGACGTGAAGCATCAGCAGGGGTAGACGGATCATGGGTGAGAGTCAACTTGCCATCAGGCTAACCGTGAGAGGTTCTCGGGGTCATCCACTCCATGTAACGCAAGTGCGGATTAGCTCTATCAAAAAGTCCTCTACGAAGGCAAATTTCTCCCAATACTCGATCCAGGAGTTCCCTTGTCTTTTGGATTGGGTGCAAAATTACAAGGCTATGGATTTGAACTTAGGTAGTCGTAAATCAATAAACTACTGATTAAATATTTTAAAGTTGGAAAGTAAGAATGTTAATTATAAATAAGCACAATATCAGTTTTTTGATAAATGTGTTTAAATATATGAAACAATTTCGTTCTGTTCTAACTCGTATTTCTTTACCAGTGTATCCTCTAGATATCAATATCGCTGGTCAAAATGCTCCATTGCTGGCCGGAGAAGAGTATTCCTTCAAGTGCATCGCGAAAGGATCCAAACCTTCTGCTATCACAAGTTGGTGGCTGGATGGTTCAAAAATCACATCAGGCATACATGAAGTTTTTAATGAAACTGAATATATAACCGAAAATGATTTAACATTGTCTCCTACAATAGAAGATGATAGAAAAACACTAACCTGCAAAGCTGCTAATCCAGCTATATCAAAGTCAACTATACAGACGCAACAGCTACTTCAAGTACATTGTAAGAATAAAACACTTCTTTTTTCTGAATGATTTACATTTATGTACATAGTGGCATAAAATTTTTATATTTGAGTAGATTAAATTATTCTACGTTTATTCACTTGAGTTTATTAAATTATTATTCTATACAATGAAGTGATTCAAGTTTGCTTAGATATATGTAGTTAATGTAAATAAGATAGAATGTCATATTATGATATAAGTTATATTGTCATAGATTGATGCCACATTAATATTAATATCCCCTTTCAACTTATATTTACAGTTTATACAATCTCTTTATTGAAGTTCTTATTAATATAACAAATAGTAAATTTTCTTAATATTAACTTTTTACGAAATCTGTAGAATTAATATAATGTCGGCAGACATTTTGGATTAAGAAATTAGGTTAATTCTATAACAATGTTTCTAATACCTAATATTTGATACCGCATACATTTCGAGAAATGTGGAAGGTTTTTAATCTATTTAGCTACATCAGCTTATGCTCCGTGAAAATTATTGTAAATCATGTATCTTCTGTTTCATTTTATTAAAAACAAATCTTGAATATAAAATCATTGAGTGATACAGGGAGATTTAATACAACATTGGGATATAATATTTAAGATAAATTTTGCATGTGATTTACAATTGAAAATCTTAAAATAAGGACTGAAAGTAGATTTTGGGGTAACTAATTACATACTAAAATTGTGTACAGTAAAGAAAAAAAAATGTTTTACTCGTGTATGTGGAGAAAGTTTATTCATTACTTAAACTGAACATCATTCAACACATATAATAAAATCACATTACTTAAAAAAATAATTTTTCCTTGAAAGCTGTACTCAAGGACCAGATATTAAGAAATCTTTTTAACGTAAAAGTATATTTTTGAGTGTTTATTTTGCAAGAAGTTTAAGCAGTGTAAAAAAAAGAAGAAAAAAAACTAAACCATGACTCATTTATTAAATTCAGTGAAAAATAACGAAAGGACATAATTAATTCGAATAATTAATCTGCAAGATGTTTATTGTATGAAATCTTCATTATCGTGTGAACTGATAATGACAGTAATAGGTATAATCAGACAACTCACTTGATCCTCCATACAATCACGTAGAAGGTTATGGTTACGTTTTGTTTTGATATTACATCTTAAACAGTGTATCTATAGATACTACTTTTGGGTTCGTTATCTTTTTAAAAAAATAATAGATTTAAGAAAAAATCATATTGAAACCTATGAATATGGTATGTGTTGTCCTATGAATGATTAAAAGAATCAGGCTGTATTTTACGGTATTTGTAAAATCACGGTTGGTTAAATTATGTCTATTGTGTTATTACAACTCTGTTTTAATTACTTTTACAGATTTTCCTATTTTAAGTTTAAGTCTCAGCAGCAGTAGCAATGATTCAACCATCAAGGAGGGAGATGATGTATTTTTCAATTGCAAAGTTAAAGCCAATCCATGGATTTTCAACTTGTCTTGGGAGTTTGAACAAAGTATTCTACAGCCAAATATTTCCTCAGGTATTATCTTAGGAAATCAAACTTTGTGGATTAAACAAGCCAGTAGGAACCACAATGGCACGTATCGCTGTTGGGCAAGTAACGACATTGGACGAGCCTCTAGCAACTACTTGCATTTAATTGTTCATTGTAAGCATTCTCTTGAATGTTCAAAACATTATTCCTGATTTATATTAAATTCTTTCTTATACAGGGAAAGTGCTTTAAAACAAATGGAAAAAGCTTATTTGTAAAGTTTTTTATTGTATGCCCTAAATATGCTTATTATTAGTTCTTTAGTCAGCAGCCCCATCGCTTGACGAACTTATAACTTTAAAGTTAGGTGAGAAAAGTCATAATATTTATAAATTTCCAATGCAACATTAATTATTTGTAGTAGAATTTAATAAATCATTATTTTTTTATTTTCAGCTTATTTTTTAAATTTTTGATATTTTTTTGGAAAAATCAGAAAAAAAAAATAATTTACTAGATGAAAGGAAGAAGTCTAGCTAATCGCTGTTAGTTTTTTTTCCATAGAATGTGGAAAAATTTTCTAAATTATTTTTTTAAATAGAATTAATTCTTTGAATTATTTTTCATTATACTTAAAAATTCCTTTATTATTATATCCATATTATGCCTCATTAAAAAGTTCTCCGGCAAACAAAAATCCCCCTTATTCTTCCTTACATGAAATATCAGCTACTTTCATTAGGTAAATGGAGTAAAAGATTTTTTAACTCTTTGACACCAGTGTCCCTTTCATCTATTTTTCCGAGCCTATAATATTACACTCAAAAATATATTTTGATATTGTTTTATTATGTAAAAACAGTTTAATATATTCTGAAAAATTCTGTCAAATTATCGGAATTATACTTGATAACAAAATATAAAATATAAAAAAATTGGGTTGAATTTTTTTTTCTTCCATATGCTTTTTGCATATAGAAGAAAAAAAATAATTAATTGCTTAAATTAAAGAAATTTAACAGAAATTTAACACAATTTCTTTAATTTACGTAATCAATTTTAACAATAATTGATTGCGTAAATTAAAGAAATTTCAATGTTGAATAACTGTTTCTCCTAGATCTGAATAACTATAAATAAGTGCAAATTTCTAAAATGATTGTCCGGAAATGAGACGTATTTGGAAGATTTTACTTTTAATGCAAAAGACACCAGAGTTTCATGATGTATTTCATAACCATAAATTATCAAGATGCTAAATATACTATTTTTCACTAACTTTTTAACAGAATTAATACAAAATAATTAAAAGTATGAAAATATGTATAGTATAAATTCTGCGTCAAAGGGTTAAATATTAAGAATTATAAACTTTAGCTTAAGCAACTGGAATCAAATTCTAGCTTTAAATGAGTTTTGTTAAAATAATGGAAAGTCAAAGCATATTTTGAAGTTGAAAAGTTGATCGTTTCAAAAACGAGTTAAGTTAAAGTTAGTTAATAAACTATCGGTTGTTTAACGTATTGTATATTTCTGTTGAAAATATATCAAAATATTTCCACTAAATATTTCCACTAAAATCGAAATATTTCCACTAAAAATCCATTTTCCATAAATTACTGTGGTGCAAAGTTCTCTTCCAGGTTTGGGTCTAAATTTAAATTTAGTTAAGCACCTCAATATATATATATATATATATATATATAAATTAACTGAAATATAAACTTTTCAGAACAATTAGGACATATTATAACATTGAAATGAAAGAAAAAGAAGAAAGAAAATGTACTAGTTTGTTAAATAATAAATATTATCTAACATAATTTGTTCAATATATTTTTATCATTAAAAAAATATGACAGAAACTACTAAAATATGGTAAAATATCCTCCATGGGAACATCAAAAGATTCAATAATGTTTTCTAAAGTGCTTTGGTAATGATTCTGGTATTATTAGCAACAAAATATAGTTTAATAATTTGTGATAAAATAAGGTAATTTTATTATACCTTAGAGCATGTCATGAAAATTATTCATCATTATCAGTTTTGTATCTTTTCGAAATGTGCGGTAATGAGAACTACAATTTTGAAATCCAAAATTTCCGGTCAACTATTATCATACGTACGAAATAAATTCCAAATAACTGATTTGAAATACCGTATGTTTTGGTTTTATTAACCATAATTATTTCTTTTTATACCATAAATCCCAGTACCGTAGAGTAAGGTAATTTTACCAGACATTTTTTCCTACGAGATTGTTTACCATTTGAAGCTGGGAAAGAAAATTGAATTGTGAGTATTTGCTTTTAAACAATAATCTTCGATACATATAGGACTCGCATGACTAGCATAAAAAGAGTCTTAGACGACAGAATAAGTCAATGTCGGTAAATAATACGCATATGTTTGTCATCGATTATGAATAAAATCTTTCTGCTCAAATCTCTTTCCACATTCTATCCCCGTTTTTATGTTGAAGCTCCCCCCCCCCTTGTTTAATCAAGCATGCTAGTCGTATTCACAATTCAATTCAATATGTATTTTCTAACATTTTTGTAAATTGCTTAGAACTAACGGAATATCTGAATAAAATTTGTCGTCAATTTTTTTCAAAATTCAGTTACATTCCATAAGAACAAATACATGTAGACTGTGCAGGAAGATTCCATGTCTTCTACGAGAATGCTAAATACATGCATAGTAGATTTCCAAAAAAAGGGGGCAATATTGGTACTCATAATGGTACTCATACAATATTGGTAAAGAAATGCTTATATTGGTACTCATAAGCATTTCTTTGCTAGATATTTCCAATAAATAATTGCTTACGCTAGATGAAATTCATCTATAGTCTAATGATGAAACAAGACAAAACAAGCTTGAGTTTTAGAACTAACGACATGATTTCGAAAACCCAAAATACCAATCTATGTATAAAGATGCATTCAAATTTACAATAAATCAAAAATTCTTTATTAATTATAAAATTCTTTATTTTTTATTACCTCAACCTGTAAGTTAAACATTAATATTTTACATATAAATATTAGAAGTTTAAGAGCCAACTTTGATAATTTTATTTCACATATTTCTAGCATGATTGAAAATATAAGTGTCATAATTATGTCGGAAATTTGGATTTACCAAAATGAAACTAATTTTTACTCAATAGATGGTTATAATTCATTCTTTAATTGCAGAAATAATAATCGCTCTGGAGGTGTTTGTGTTTTTATTAAAAAATGTCTTGATATTTCAGAGATAGCTATACATTTTGTTTCCGCAGAATCTATATTACTTTATTGCAAATCTTTAGATTTATTATTTCTATCTTTATATAGATCTCATGATTTTACTGTTGATATTTTTAATACTGAACTTAAAGTAATAATCTCTAAGCTTAAATATCCTAATATAATATTGATGGGTGATATAAATATTGATATTCTAAGTGATGATTTTATTACTCATGAATATATTAATTTATTATGCCAATTTGGATTTCAAAATTACATAGACAAACCAACTAGAGTAAATTCCTCATCAACTTGCATTGATCATGTCTTCGTAAAAACAAATAAATTTTCAATCAAATCCGGAATATTCATAAATGACATAAGCGATCACTATCCAACCTTTTGCAGTGTTCATTACGATGAGGTAAATAAAATTAAGGAAGCTGAAAATAAAATTTCAATCAACTATAATAAGCTCAATAATTATCTGTCAAATTACAAATTTAATTACAATCCTCAAGATTCTCTTGATCAACAATATCGAAGTTTTGTTTTCAAACTCAATAATTTAAAAAATAATTTTAAATATAAGCATAAATCAAACAAAAAAGCCAAAAATAACTGGATGACTAATAATATCTTGATTTTAATTCGAAGAAAGGAAAAACTATTCAAAAAAACTAGAAAATATCCATGGGATATTATTTACAAAACAGCATACAACACTATAGTTTCTGAGCTTAAGAACTTAATTAAAACAGCAAAATCAGAATATTTCAAAATCAAATTTTTAAATTGTGATTCAAATAAACAAAAATGGGATCTTGTAAAT